CTACAGTTATCAATGGAAAATCTTCCCTATGCTTTTTTTTAGATTATTAATTATTTTGATGCCTTGTGAATGTTTTTAAATTAATTGTACTTTAAATCAGTTCCTTATAGTAGTATAAATATGATCAATTGCTCCATGTCTTATGTTCTGCATGTTTTAATATACAAAAGGCGCTCTTCAGAGCTATTTCATGGGTGCTTTGAAAACTTCACATGAGCTAACCATGTTGCTGAGGGAAGACTTTTATTTTATAAGACAAATGACTTTTTTTTTTCTTTTCTTACTCTCAAATTTATTAACTGCAACTTGCCATGGAATCTTCCATCCTTAGGTCAGGTATAGCATCTTTTCCACGTTCTGGTTAGATTTATGTCATTACTTTCTAATTTTGCTCCTGAGAATATAATTTGCTGTTTTATGATTAGTTGTTGAATTCCGTCAAATGCTGTCTTTGCACCAGTTGATATGATCATATGATTTTTTTGTAAACGATAAATTCAGCAGTTTGCTTTGATTGATATCAGAAAATTTAATCAGCTCTGCATTACTAGAATGAAACCCTCATGTTTGTAGTATTGTTTTTACATATTGGCAGTTGACTTATTAATATTTTGTTGAGGATACTCTGTGCAGTTTCAAAATGTTTATTTTGTTCTTGTGTTCTGATTCTTGCTTTTCTGTTACTCGTTTGTCTAATTTTAGTCTAAAATAGTGAATATTTCATAAAAATAGAGTTGGGGTTGTTTCTTACTCTTTTATTTTTTGGAAAAGTTGAGTTTACTATATGTTATTTTCTCTTTAGATGTCTGGTGAAATCGGTGTCGAGTAGAGATGGGACTAGAGATGTTATCTGATTATGAGAGAAGTATACAGAAGTTTCTAAATATTACTGTGGATCTACCTGTCTCTCACATGAGTCCTGTCTCAGTTTCTTTGGGAATAAATATCCCATGTATTTTGATGCCTTGCTGCCAGGTGTGTGACTTAGCATTGAGGTTACCCTGTATGCTTTGAAGGCTGACCACTTATGACAAGTGGTCTTCTTTTTGAGTTGACTGTCAATGGTAGAGCTTTGTTGTCTTGCTAATTTGTTTTCTGTAAACTTATTTTCTCAATAATTTTATAGACACTTCAACTCTCTTTTGATGTATTTCTGTTTAAGATACCTTTAAAAACCCTCTACCTTTAACTGAATTCACTCTCGCTGAAATGATTCCTTTTTAATCCCATGAAGTTAGTTTATATTTCATGATCTATTGTGAAAAAAATTGACCCCAGTCTTTGGTTTTAGGTCATTTACATTTTCATTTACTTGAACTTTGTGTTCCACAAACCTTTTGTTTTGACTTTCTTTCAAGTCTCTTTGATATTCTGTACTCATTTTAACTGGTGTGTTTTCAGACCCACATCTCTGTGTAGTATTTTAATCAGTGTTACAGAGCATATAGACATGTTCCATCATCCATGCAGACACACGTGTTACCATTTACATTAGAGTTAAGCTAGGTTAAGTTAGATAGACCTTACTATTCTATGGGTCCCTTTACTATATCTGTGTTATAATTATCTTACATATGAAAAACTATACCTATTTAGATAATTTTAAGTATTTTAACTATTAGAATGATGGTCACCCAAGGATATCTATATTCTAACACCTAGAATCTGAGTATGATACTTTACATCGCCAAGGGACTTTACACTTGTCATTAAGGCTAAGTAGGAGTGATTATCCTAGGATATACAAATGGTTTTAATATTATTGTACGATCCTGTTAGGCCACAGAAGATTCTCAAATTGTATTTGGAGAACTCGAGGGGTCTAATAGGACCTTCCTTACTGTGAGTGGCTCTGAAGACAAAAAGGGAGGATGAGGCAAGGTATGCACACGCTGTTTAGAAAGGCGTTGGAACTCTCCTCCCAAGCTTGCAGAATGAATACAGGCTCCTCAGTGCTTTGATAGAGCATGCAGAGTCTGATGATGGAGTCCCAGTGAAGGGAATTGTACGATCCTAAATGTTGTTGCTTTAGGCAATTAAACTCGTAACAATTTGTTCTGTAGCAATACAGAAACAGCAGAACCATCAGACATTTTCCAGTACTGGAGAAGCCTCTTGTGGTTACCCAAATAGTCACTATTCTGCTCTTCCTTCCCTCTTGATATAGCAGATGTCGTTGTAATCATGCCAAGGTCCTTCACTTGTCAAACTGAGCAGGACTATCGCACCCTTCCTGGCTTTGGTCATAGTCCATTATTTAGTGTGTATGATAAAATAGACACCATCTTAGGGTTCCTGTGGCGTCTGAAACCCCATGTGCCACTTTCTCTAAATCACTGCACCAGCCCAGCCCAGCCTTTCATCTCCTAGCATGTTCCTATCATGTTGGGGGATTTCTTTTGTTATTGTAAATCTCACTTATGAATAAAGTGCGGGGCATGAATTATGTGCTTATAGTGAGAGAGGACCCTTTTAAAGTCTAGTATGGTCAACCATTTTGACCAGAATTTTATTTTGTGGCCAATTTATGTGTTTGCTTATTTATGGGCAATGGCAAGGTCTCACATAACCTAAGCTGGTCTTGGACTCACAATGTACTTGAAGAAGACCTTGAATTCTGATCCTGTCTTCTTCATTTTCTGAGTGCTGGGATTACATGGCAAAAAGGGAGAATGAGCCAAGGAGTGCACACACATGATCACATAACACCTATCTATGTGGGCTGCTGTCAGTAGAACCTATTGCATGCTGAGTGAGCACTCTTCTTAATATATTGTTTTTAAAATAGATATTGCCTAGGTAACAAATTAGAAAATTAGCTGGTTCAAACATCAGAGATTTTTTATTGGACCTTTCTCTAGGACTCTAAAGTGAGCCTTACTGTGTTAAACCAAGTTCATGCCAACACTCGTCTCTGCCTGAGGTTCTGGGAGAGAGGGATTTTTTTTCTTTTTTCCCTTTTCCATACTAGAGTTCGCTGCACCTCCTTAGCTCATCGTTCTTCTGATACTGCTTCACTCGGATCCCCTGTGATTCCTCCTCTTCCACAGGTAGGAATGTTGGGAGGATACTGAGTATGTGTCTTTACCTACATTCCTTTCATTTCTCTTCCAATCATAATTTAAATAGCACTATTCATTAATACACATTTTATTTAGCCATTGTTGATATTATTTGATATTATATTGATATGATATATGTTGATATTATATTGTTTAATATTTGAATGTACTATTGTAGAAAGATCTTCAATTTGCCCAAGTAATAGTTTCCTTTTCATTTATTTTATTTGGTGTAATTTAGCAGATTTGAGATGTTGTATAACTGCCCTTCCATCCTTACATGGGAGCATTGAAATAGTTCTCAAAGTTTGTAAGATTTGTCTTAAAATTTAGTGAAAATTTTGATTAATGGGGATTAATAAATACTATAGATAAAGTTCCAAAATTCTGATCCCCCATTAACTATTCCAAGAACTTAGGTAGACGGGTCTCCCCATCACTGTGTAGCACTGTCTGACGTGGTATAAGTGTGTGACATATTCTGTTCGGCAGGATCCTCAGACTACCTGGGGCTTACTGTGTTTCAGGTCTTGTTGAAAGCAGATTCCAATTAATTGGAGGAGGGTTCAGAACTCTCTAGAAACAGAAGGACATTTTGCTCACTCTTGAAACTCTTTAACTTATCCATGTTGGAAGGTAAAGGACCTAAAAATTCAATGAAAAATTTAGGTAGCCCATGAAAATATATGTGCCGTTGATTTTTAATTTATCTGGTCTACTAAGAATCACAAATAATCACACTCTTTTAGTCCAAAGAATATATGGGGAGGGGGTGAGTAAAGTCTACATGAGTATGGTCAACAGTGGGTGGGGCTTCTGAGTCTCCTGGGCTCAATCTTTTGCTTAATAAAAATACTATGAATCTACCTACCTACCATCCTATCATCCATCGGTCATCTATCCATTCATCTACCATCCATCCATCCATCCATCCATCCATCCATCCATCCATCCATGCATCGTCTTATCTGTATCATCTATTCATTCTAACACGTACACACACTTGCTTTTCTCAGTGGGTAGAATCCCTTTCTCTGCCCTTTGACCCTTGCTGCTGTGTAGAGTCCTGGACTTTGGATTTGGGAAGCAGTCTATGGTTTCTGGAGCTGTCCAGCAGCCCCTGGCTCCTGGCTAAGTTCTGTGTGCTGTCTGTGCCTGGAAGCTCTCCAGCGCCCCGCCCTGGGCAGAGAGCCTCTCAGTCGGGGTTGGCCAGGCTTCCCCTGCTCACTACCCATCTCCGCCTGTCTCCCTCGCCTGTCCAGCTTCACCTAGGAGTCCTGCGTGCTTTGGCTGGGTTCCTTTTCCCGCCCGGGAGGGGGTGCCCTGCGCCCTGGGCTGCCGTGCGGCGTGAGTGTCTAAGTGAGGGCTTCCCTCTTTTGCCCGAGGCGGCCGGGTGCCTTTCTTTGCAACCTCTCCTCCTGCGGCTGGGTGGTCCTTTCTCTCGCTGGGCTTTGGAGACACGCGCCCGATTTCGAGGGGGTGAGTGCAAACGCCGCCCATCAACTTGGCACCTGCTGTTGAGATCCTAGGATCCCGAGCGGAGGCTGCGGTTGCGGGCTGCCGAGGACGGTGGAGGACCGCTGCGGGCACGGCTGGCTGGACCAGGCGCTGCGTGTGTGGGGGGAAAGAGGCCGCCCCGCCCGCGCCCCGGCTCGCGCCCCGCCCTCCCGGAGCGGTCTCGGCGGCTCTGGGCTCTCGCTATTGTCTCCGCCTTTCCAACAGGTTCGGGCGCGGGAGCGCGGGCGGGTGCGGGGCGGCCCGGCCCGGCTTTCCCGGAGCCGCCTCCCTTCCTCCGCGTGCGCGCCCGGGCCGCGTGGCTCGGCGGGGCGCTGCTCCGTGCAGGTCCCCGCAGGTCCCCGCGAGCCTGACCCGGCTGCGGCCCGCCGCGTGCGGGAGCGATGCTCGCAGAGGCGGCTCCAAGTTCGGCGCGCACCCGGAGGGGCCGCCCCGCTCGGTCTTAGGTGTCTGAGCCCGAGTGGCGACGCCGAGGCGGTCGCAGGAGGGGCCAGCTGGGCTTTCCCGCTTCACTCCCAGCACCTCTTGGTTTTTATCTTTATTTTTAAAGAGGGAGACGATGGACTGAGACGATGCACGCCATGGAATCCCGGGTGTTACTGAGAACGTTCTGCGTGATCCTCGGGCTCGGAGCGGGTGAGTGGCCACCGAGCTGGGCCGGGATGCTCCCTGCCATGGGGTCGTCGCCCGGTGTCCCTCTGGATTGGGGTGCTCTGGAGGGTTTTCATTTGGGTCCTTTCTGTGCTTGCCCTGGGGACAGCAAGGCGGGTCACACCCTTAGGGTCTGTGGATGAGGGGGAACTTTGCACAGAGAGGGGCTTAAAGTAGGTCAGGAGATGGGACCCAGCGCTCTGCTATTTTAAGCTTGACAGCGCGTCCAGGTAAGGCTCTCCCTGAGGAGGAGCAAGTTGCTTCTTGTCAGCACTTCCAAATATTGTCGCCAAGACGCGTGCTTTCTTTGCTGCTGTGGAAGCTTGCGTTTTAATGGCCCCCTTTCTTTCTTTCTTCCTTTCTTTCCTATCCCTCCCCACTCCCACCAGTTTGGGGGCTTGGTGTGGACCCCTCCCTACAGATTGACGTCTTAACAGAGTTAGAACTTGGGGAGTCCACAGCTGGAGTGCGCCAAGTCCCGGGACTGCATAATGGGACGAAAGCCTTCCTCTTCCAAGGTATGGCCCAGTGTGGAGCCCCATGTGTGTTGAGGGGAGCTGGCCCTGCGGCTGCTGATAACTTGGCTTGGAGCTGCAGGGGACGGGCAGAGAGTTCCAGCTGGGGTGAGGTGGAGGGGTGTCTCTGTGCGCTCAGGGCTTGGCTCTCTTAAAGTGGGTTCTTCCCCCCACCTTCATTTCCCGCGGCCTCCTCCTCCTCCTCCTCCTCCTCCTCCTCCTCCTCCTCCTCCTCCTCCCTTGGCGGTTCTAATGGATAGTGCCTTAATTACCGACTAGAAACTCCAGAGGCAGATGGGTGATTTGGGCGTCTAGGGAACAATAAATTGTAACACAAACGCTTCAATTGGGTGGAATGGATTTGGGAAGGAAACAAGATAGCTCAATCTTGGTTAAGATACTGACCTCCCAAAGTTTCGGCGCCGTGGTGCCTGACCAGAGGAATTTCTTTACGGTATTTTTACTGCACATCTTTGTACTTGAAGCACGATTACCATGGAATGCTCCCCACTCTTCCTTTCCGATCAGCGAGGAGGGAAAGGGAATGATCCTGTTACAGTTATTTTGAAATCGTTTCAAGGGGATGCTTCCAGAAGCACAGCCCCGTGTCACCATAATTGTATGTGTAGAATTTTAAAACTTTTTTTCCTTTTTGAACTCAGTGGACATTGACTATTCATTACTGTCCAGATTTCAAATTATATTTGAATATGCTGTTCAGCCAAAACCAAATTTCAGAAAAAAAAAAACAAAACAACAACAACCAGCCAGCAAATTGATTGAGTAAAGCTTTTGAAGTCTTCTCAGCTTGTGGGAAGGTGCTTAGCTTGAGGGTCTGAAAGGGGGTTAAACTGTCCATGGAGATGGGATTTATGGAAAGGCACAGAGGAAGGTCCTGTATCCGGAAGATAAAGGCATCTTCCCCCACCACCCACGGGGTGTGTATGTTACGTGTTTCTTTTGCTGTTGGGAGCTATGGCTTCAAATGAAGTCGTGCAACTTATAATTACCGAAACGTTGGCTACGCAAAATGCAACGAAGCCAGCACACTGCCATCAAGAAGCAGACATAGGATGTTTCTGTGGTGGCGCTGTTGCCGCATCCAGCCACTATGTGTCACCATGGACAGCAGCAGCTCATACGCTCTCTGTAGGGAGAGGGAAATGACATGTGTTGCATTTTAGAGGAGTTTGTGTTTATAATAAATTAAAATGTAAGCTCTTTAAAAAAGGGTTTCAGTTAAAGTTCTTAATTGGTGTTTTTATTGTGACAAGTGCTTATGATATTTCTTTACTTTCGGATGCTTTGGGGAGGGTGGGGCTGGGATACTGAAGACAATAGCCAAATGTGATCAAGGAAGTAGAGCTCAGTTGTCAGCAAAAATTCAGTTGAATAGAAATGTAATCAGGCATAGTCTCTAGGCTTATTGCCGTGTTATTTCTGTCTTTAATTTTTAGTCTCTTTGAACAGGGACTTATTATTTTAGGACTTGATGGAGTAAATAGAAAGCTTGACAAACCAAGTTTCTAATAATCATCTGTATTGTATTGAATAGTTAGGATAACCTCAAAGGCTCCATTTAGCCTTCCGAAGGGTACCGGCTTCCTATACAGAGTGTCCATCTGTCAAAAGTAGAAACCAGAAATGTACATTTTATCTGAGACAATTGGACAATTACATATTGAAGAGTTTGACAGTTTCTAGGCAACAGTCTCAGGGTATCAGTTTCTTTTTCTGGTTAAGACAATATTTATTTCTATATAAATATCTAGCTTCTTTAAGGTATGCATTGTGTTTTAAGAAACATGGCTAATGCCATATGTTTTCTTTGAACCATGCTCAGTTAGTGGATGTCAGCTCCCACTGGTGAACCTCTTTTGTTTCCTAGCTAATACCAAGATCAGTATTAGAAAGAGCAAATGCTTCACAAATACAATTTTCATTCAGAGATTCGGAATTACACTTCCTGCCACATGAAGTCTCTCTGTGTATTAACCGCTATTTACTGTCTGCTGTGTCCTTGTAAAGCATATGCTCCTGATGTATTGATTGCACCTTAGTAACTTCTCTTATTATAAGATTTGAATTCTGACATCAGTGGCAAGTAACTGATGGGTGGTTCTGCATCTTCTTGGAAAAGTCTTTCCTCAGACGCTAGGCAAGCAGCAGGTTTGAACTCAGCCCTGCGCTGTGCTATTTCACTGGATCCTGCTGGGGCTTAGAGAGACAAGAGCATTCAGACCATGAAGAGTTTTGAGGTTCCATTTATAGTGAATTTAGAATGCTGCCAGTATTTTATATAGTGTGTAAAATGTCATAGCAAAAATAAAAAAATAAAAAAATATCCGTGAGGTGCTCCCAGATTTCATACAAACTTCACGTACAAGTTTTCTGTGCTACCAGATATATTCTAAACAAGGTGAAGTGATTTCTGAACCATCAATTGCTTCTCCAACAGATAACAAAACTAGCTTTCTATATCATCCCTTTGAAATAAGAAATCTCCAAACACGGTCGTCTCATGACTGTTTTTCATTTTGGTTACTTTATTTTCTCTTTCTGATTTCTGAAATACATGCATTTCAGTATTTTGAAACTATGGATGTTTTAAACTATGACTGTTTTTTTTTTTTAAAAAAACTACTGTGAAATACAAATCTACTACTTAACATTTTGTTTTATATTCATAGTAAAACCTATACTTCCAAATCATAACATTTTATTGAAACATCAACCATAATGTCGCAGCACCATTTTATTGTTGCTAAAATTTGATTTACAGTTGCTTTGAAAATTTTATGAGATTTCAAATTCAACCATTCCTTAATACATGTGGGCTTCAGATTATGCCTGTTTTAATTACTTAATTTGCCTGGGCAGTAGTTTGGGGTTCTAGTCTTTTCTGACTGTAATCCGACACGTGGCCCAAAACACACTTATTATGCTTTAAAAAAATATACTAGGATATGCTGGCAGTGAAAAGATTTGCAGCAGGGTATAACGAGTTTCAATTCTAAGGACTATTGAAACTGTGAATAGATTCTCCCTTCCTTGCTTGGGAACCTCGCTAGTATTTTGGCAGATAATGATCATAATAATTTTATTTTCTCTGTGTGCATGGGAGATCATAAGGAATAAAGCATATATACAAAGTTAGCATGGGTTTTAGCTCTTTGATCATAACAGTTCATCCAGGCTCCCAAAATAGATAATCTCATCTGCCGTCTTACGAAAATACCTTTTGAAGTGTTTGTAGATTGCATAATCTCATTAACCCCCGAAAGATAGATACAATCAAAACATTTTTTTTTACCTTAGTTGATAACATAAAAGTAATCTTAGTAATTCTTCTTAAAGAACATTTACATTTCGAAAAAAAAAGGCATTCCTAGGCATTTGGTGGTAGGCCAGTGACATTGGTAGGCAGCTTCGTTGCAGTGCAATGGGGTGACGAGGGCTTATCTTCAGTGGTGTGTAAGATGCACCTCTCATTGGTGTGACAAGATACTTGAAAAAGCAACTTGAAGGAATGGTTAGTTTCGGCTTGCAATTCGAAGGGGAAGACACGGGGATGAGAATGGATGTGTCTCTGGTGCAGGGATCACAGGGGTGAGGGCCAGGCATGGGTGAGGGTCAAGCATCTTGTTCGTAGCAAGCAGAGAGAGATGAACACTGACCCTCAGAACTCTATCTCATTTTCCTTCGTATTCAGTCTGAGACCATAGTCTCTGGACCACCTGCATTCAGGGCCGGTCTTTCTTAGGAACCTCTTGATATACACCCTCTCAGTCTATGGTAATCCTAAATTCAGTTAAGTTGACAGTGAAGATAAACCAGTATAGTGAGAGCCTGTGAGTTTCAGGATAATGGCTGTGGATGTTGTCTGATAGAGTGAAATAACACAATGACCAGAGATGGGCTTAGAAACCAGGCAGACTCAGGCAAAATGTCACAAGTTGTACTACTTGTGAGAATACTCACGCGAGTACTTCTCTGAGCTTCAGGACCCTTGGTGATGAAGTGAATACTGTTATAAGTTAACTTCATCCACCCAAATTATTGTATAATTACTAGGTCAGTGAAACTAATTTTGGACCTCTGACCTCCTGATAAATACTGCCATTTTTCTTTGTTTTTGTTTTTTTAATTTATCAGCAATAGGTAACTAATGTACTTTGTTGCCTAGAATTAGCTGCTTCTGTAAGAAATACCTAACCTGTGGAAGGATCTTTGGAATCAGGCATTGGGCACATAGAGTTCTGAGGAGGGTGTCAGGGCTTCTATATTTAGGCTTCACATCAGTTGAAGTAGTCTCTTAGGATCTTTAAATGCCCTGTGACCAATTGTAATGCTTCCTCTTTCATTTCTGATTTGTTTCCTTTGAGTATATTTTTGCTTACTTCCGGTGAAGTTACGGTAGTGCTGCTTATATTCATAAAACCTCTCTAGGTCTCAGTTTATCTCTCCATTCCCTAATCTAGTCAGTCAGTCAGTCAGTCAGTCAGTCAGTCAGTCAGTCAGTCTCTCTGTCATTCCATTGATTGATCAATCCACCCACCTGCCCGCCCGCCCACCCACCCTCCCATCCATCCATCCATCCATCCATCCATCCATCCATCTATCTATCTATCTATCTATCTATCTATCTATCTATCTATCTTTCTATCTATCATACATCCATCTATTGTTCAATCCTTATTGTCCCATTTCTTCTTGAGCTTAGTTCGCTATTTTCTTCTACTTCATTGAGATTCTGCTCTGGTGAAGGGCATTCCTCGTGGGTGGCTCCCATGTCTTCCTTACAGCAGAAAAGCAACATTGTCTCCTTTCAACCTCTGTGTAACAACATTAATTCTTTCAGTGAGGATGAGTGCTACTCTCCCAAGGGCCTCCACCAATACTATCATTGTAGGTTTTACATTTCACCAGCATGCTTTGAAAAGTCACATATATTCAAACCATAGCAATATCACTGTGTTTGGGAAAGATTTAATATGATAGGG